GTGCACTCTCCAGTGCGCCACCGGGCCGGCCCTTACTGTTTAGTTTTAAGAGTTCGATATATATTCTGGATACAAGTCCCTTATCAGTTATATGATTTGCAAATATTTTCTACTATCTGTGGGTTGTTTTTTCACTATCTTTAAAATGTAGTACAAGAAACTCAAAAACCAAACTAAAGAAGAAAAGGGCCGGCCCGGTGGCACACTGGAGAGTGCGCAGCTTGGGAGCGCGGCAGCGCTCCTGCTGAGGGTTCGGATCCCACGTGGAGACTGGTTCCCGCTCACTGGCTGAGCGCGGTGCGGGTGCAACACCGAGGGTTGCAATCCCGTTGCCGGTCAGTAAAAAATACAAAAACGAAAAAAGAAGAAAAAAGTAAAGAGCACAACATGCTGTAAGTTTCTCTATGCTAATTAACTTTTCATAGAGAAATCTATAGCAGTAAAACCTCACATACCCATGTTCCATTTGTTAATGTTCCTCTTCTGCCCATCTCCTCTCCATACGACTTCCTTCCCTCACTCTCTCCTCCCTCTTGGTACTAACTTGGTACCAGCGGAACTCCAGAGTCAGTTTAGAAACTACAGGACTTTCTCACTGCTGGACAAATCTCAACAAAGTAAGGAGAAAATACCTTTCATCTACAGAAAAATACATGGTTTTTAATTTTTTAAAACAGTCCTTACAAATGTAATTTTTAACGAAGTAGTCTTGTAAGATTTGAAGACTTCAGAACAGGTGCTGGGTCTTGTAAAAGTCAGCCATAACTTCTAAACTTTGCAATTATTATTGTCTTAATATCTAAATGGATATTTCCTTATGTTTGTGAATTTCTTTTTTAAGTCAGGAAGTCAGAAGGAGATTAACAGTATGCCCCTGTTCTCCTGTGTGCAGTAAATTAAATAAAAGTCCTATGACTCTGCTTGAGTTCTAAATTAAATCAAGAGTTCAAATCTGTATCTCTTTTAAATTAACACATCTAATTTACTGTATGTCTTACCTCTCACCTTTTTTTAGGGGTTTTCTCTTGCAGTGAGATGTCTTCTTTCTGGAGATTCTTTGAGTTAGGTTTTGTTCTGTCTTGTTTTAACTCCTTTGGTGTTGTTCTGGATCTCTTGTTTGAAGGTACAGTTGCAGAAACAAAATCATCTATTTATGTGTGAATTAAAAGTAAAAGAAATAAAATTATTTTCTTAGCAGTTGAAATTCATTTCAGTGCATATTCAAGTTTTACAGGTTAAGCAAATTGTTTAACTTCCACAATTCAGAAATCACTGTTGGTGTTTTGTTTGTCTTTACTCTCACACATCTGTTTCAACTCTTCATTGTTTTGATGGCCTTTACTTTTTAAAATACCAGTCTATCAAAAGCCAATTTGCTAAAAAACTGCAAAGGCAATTAAGGTATTCTATAAATATCAAAGAAAAAATGATTAATTAAAAACCTGTAAAACCACTAGAAAAACTGTAGAATTTTATCACATTAAAAAGTGGAAGGAAATGATTTTTATGAAAACTTCACAATGTAGCCAAATATCTTCTTTCAAAGGCCCACTACCTATTCCTAGTACATTAGCCAAGCTAAGGAAAGTAACGAGCATCATGGGGAAAGAGAAAGTGGCTCCTGTTTGAGGATTTTTACAGTAGTAGTATTTTCTCTTTCCATTACCATAATGACCTTCCTATGACCCTACCAAGGTAACTTCTTAATTTCTGGCAAAGAGATGCTCTTTTCTAGTCCATCACTGCTTCTCACAGG